TATTTTACATAAACAGTAAGTAATGATTTTTATTCCTCATTCCAAGAAGAAATCACCTGAATAAGCATTCCTTGATTTTCTGTCTGAAATGAGTCAAGTCGTAAGTATGTGAAAGGTTGGTTTTCGGTCAACTAAAATGTTTACCGAGAAAAATGTCATGTTTAAACTTTTTCAGAAGATTACCAAGAGTTGACTCCACGAAGTCTGCTGTTGCTGCAATAATCTTTTCTGTATGTGAAAACAAATTTCATTCTCTGACCTCGACTGTTGATAAACACCTTACGTCAAAACCACTCCTCTTTCTGGTCCTTCCACGAATCAGAAAGCTCTAAATTGAACAGGAAGTCGACCCAAATAAAATGTGGCAACTTCCCAGTTCATGTGAGATTGAGATTGAGATTGAGAGTGCAGCCGGTTCTGAAAGTTTCAGAGCAATGAAGAGTCCAAGAGAGCAATGAAGAATCCAGAGGTTTTTGGGATTATAATTCTGTTTTGAGCTAACTACGCACGACTCTCTGAAGGTTTGGTAGTTCTCGACGGAGACGCTGAAACGAGTCAGAAAGGAACTACTCCGACGCTGATTCATCATCAACAGGTAGATGGTTCTATTTTGACCAAGTGTACCGTGAGAAGCTGAGATCGGACGGAGCGTGCAATTTCTGGTTAAACAGATTAAATTTCCCTCACATATTTCCTCTGTAAGATAAATCTCAATTTACTCTTAAACTCACCTCTCTCTCATAAATCAGTGCAGATATTTTTAGAAATATCTGAAGCAAAGTCCTCAAATCACCGCCGAGTGATTTGAAGTTCATTTTCTGTGAAACTGTCTATTATTATTTTCATATTTTGCCAAATTAATGTAAATGTTTGATGTTAAACTTTGATTCTGAAAATAAATGATTCCATTCATTTGATGGGTCAAAGGTAATAACGTCTCTTGTTCGCATTCCTTTAAATTCAATGCACGGCATTTACAGTCAGAAAAATGAAGAACTCGTGAAAAGTATGCATAAATATATATCCATATATTTGTCATACAACAAGTGACACGTATCTCACGTGACTCACTACTGTAAATAATTAGCTTTTTTGTGGTTTTATTTATTTATTTATTTTTGTATCTTGAGATCTATGACGTCATCAAATACTCGAGTTCTACTCGGGTTTTATTATGTTAATGTCGAGTTTAAAAATTATATACTCGTTCAACCCCTTCCTACAACTATAAGTAGTGATGACTTCATGAGATTCTTTATAAATAAAATTATTTCAATTACGAAAAAATTCAAACCATCCTTCCTTCTACTATCTCTAGTCCCCTGTCAAATTGAGACAACTTTAAAAATTTCACTAGAGCCTGATTTATGTTTGGACAGTTTTTGTCCTGTTGAGCTCTGAATTGTCAAAAATAATAACGTCATCCAAACCAGACTGTTTAAAGAGGTATTTCCCCTAATTAATGTCCACATTTTGGATCTACTTAATTTGTCTTTAATGGATGGTTATGTACCACAGCGCTTTAAGGTTGCTGTAATTAAACCTTTACTTAAGAAGTCTGATCTTGATTCAGAAATTCTGGCCAACTATAGACCTATATCTAATCTAACTTTCATCTCAAAAATTCTAGAGAAAATAGTTGCAGGTCAGTTGCGTGAACATCTACAAAGAAATAATCTGTTTGAAGAGTTTCAGTCAGGGTTTAGAGCTTATCATAGCACAGAAACAGCACTAGTAAAAGTCACTAATGATATTCTCATGGCCTCAGACAATGGACTTGTGTCTCTACTGGTCCTGTTAGACCTCAGTGCTGCATTTGATACAATTGATCACACTATTTTACTACAGAGGCTTGAATATAATGTTGGGATTACAGGAACAGCTCTAAACTGGTTTAAATCATATCTATCTGATAGATTCCAGTTTGTAAATGTAAATAATAAATCTTCTTCATACACCAAAGTTAGTCATGGAGTTCCTCAGGGCTCAGTGCTTGGGACAATACTCTTTACTTTATATATGCTTCCATTAGGTAAAGTTATTAAACAGCATGGGATAAATTTTTATTGTTATGCTGATGACACACAATTATATTTGTACATTAAACGCAATGAATCCAATCAGCTACTTAGACTACAAGCATGTCTTAAAGACATAAAAACCTGGATGACTCTTAATTTTCTCCTGTTGAACACAGACAAAACTGAGGTTTTGGTTTTTGGACCTGAGCACCTTAGGAATTACTTTTTCAATCTTTCTCCCTCCTTAGATGCATTAATCTGTCCTCCACTTCTAATGTTAAAAATCTTGGTGTTATTTTTGATCAGGACATGTCTTTTATCCCCCACATTAAAAACGTTACTAGAACTGCCTTCTTCCACCTGCGTAATATCACTAACATTAGAAACATCTGATCTAAAAATGATGCAGAAAAACTGGTCCATGCATTTGTCACGTCTAGACTGGACTATTGCAATGGTTTATTATCTGGATGTCCAAATATTTCTTTAAAACGTCTTCGGTTGATCCAAAATGCTGCTGCCAGAGTCTTAACCGGAATTAGTAGGAGAGATCATATCTCTCCAGTTTTAGCTTCTCTCCATTGGCTCCCTGTCAAGTCCAGAATAGAATTTAAAATCTTACTTCTAACCTACAAAGCTCTCAACAACCTAGCTCCATCTTATATTACAGATCTTATTGTTCCATATTTTCCTAACAGAGCACTTCGCTCTCAGACTGCAGGTTTACTTGTGGTTCCTAGAATTTACAAAAACAGAATGGGAGGAAGATCCTTCAGTTATCAGGCTCCTCTCTTGTGGAACCAACTTCCAATCTCTGTCCGTGAGGTTGACACATTATCCAGTTTTAAAACTAGGCTTAAGACTTTCCTTTTTGCTAAATCCTATAGTTAAGGTTGGCTTGGGTTTCCTGTCTGTCTCTCCTTCCTGTCCTCTCAACCAGCCGGTCAAAGCAGATGGCCGCTTGTCCTGAGCCTGGTTCTGCTGGAGGTTTCTTCCTTTTAAAAGAGAGTTTTTCCTTTCCACTGTTGCCACTGTGCTTGCTCAGGCTGGGAGACTGCAATGAAGCCAAGATTCAACTTGTCTGCTGGATTCCTTAGATAGAGAACTTTACTAATTGGCTTTTATGTGAATGTTTCCGTAAAGTGTCCTGAGACAACTTTGTTGTGATTTGGCACTATATAAATAAACTGAATTGAATTGAATCTTTGGGATGAACCAGTCTTTGCCGTAATGCATTTTGGGATTTAAAAGCCACTGGGACGTTGTGTTTTGAAAATAGACGTCTCCGTTTCTCTGATAGTCCCTCAACATATGGAATGACCACTGGTCTGGGTTCCTCCTTTTTACTTGATGGCTGACTGGAGTCCTGTTTGGGTTTCTTCTCTGCTTTCAGGAAGGCTCAGTTAGGATATCCACATTGCTCTAGAGCCTGTCTTGTGTGAGATTTCTCCTTCTGCCTGGCTTCTGAGTTAGTGGGGACATTGTCTGCTCTGTGGTACAGAGTCCTGATGACTCCTAACTTGTGCTCCAAAGGGTGATGGGAGTCAAACTGCAAATACTGGTCTGTGTGGGTGGGTTTGCAGTACACCTCAGTTTGCAAAAGTCCTCTATCAGAGACTGAGACCTCACAGTCCAAGAAAGCAAACCTGCCGTTTTTACATCTTCTCATGTGAACTTGATGTATTTATCCACAGGGTTATACTGTTTAGTGTCAGGAGGTCTGTGATCAGTCTTACAACGGGGAAACTAAACAGCCACTGGCCAAAAGGATGGCTCTGCACAGAAGAGCAACATCATCATGCAAGGACTCTGCGGTCTACACTCATTTCCAGGCCAGCGGTCACTATTTCAGGGATGAAGATGTTCACATCCTTGATAGAGAGGAATGATGGTTTGAGAGAGGAGTAAAAGAGGCCATGTTTGTGAAAAGAAATCATCCATCATTAAACAGGGGTGGAGGCCTCTGTGTTCAACTGTCCCCCTCTTACAATGCTGTTATTGCTAGTATCACTCAGCCCCCTGTGAATAGTAATCAGCCATCAGTGTGTTAATGATCCATTGTTAGGCTGATGGGCCTTCTTGACCATGTGAGCAGCTGGTTTTGGTTGTCAGCAGCAAACTGGTTGATCCACTCTGAGAAGGTGCTATTTAAGAGACTGAGCTGAATACAGCACCTCAGACTGAGGAAGTCTTTCAGATGAAAGACGAAACGTTTCTAGATTTTTTTGTTGTTGTTGTTTTGCTTTGTTTTGTTTTTTGAATGGCCAGAGGAACAGACTTAACTTTTTTAGAGTAAACATTTACACATCTTCAATCTGTCTGAGACATGCTGTAATTCAATTCAAGGTAGTGCACAGGTTGCACTGGTTCAAAGACAAGCTGTCCAAAATCAAAGCCAACCTGTATCTTGCATTCAGTTGTTGCAAACAAACTCCAGCTACACTCTAGAATGCATTCTGGACCTGTCCCAAACTGCAGACTTTTGGGCAATTTGTCATTGACACTTGCTCTGGAATGTGTGGCAAAATTGTACACCCATCACCACTCACCTCACTGTTCAAGGTAGTCCCTGGGGATATGTCCTTCAGCAAATGCAAGAAGGATGTGATTGCCTTTGGCTCTTTTCTAGCCAGGAGGCTAAGTTTATGCAGTTGGAAGGACTCACACACCACAGCATATATACATTGAATAAGAGAGGTGATGTACAAAGTACCATATCCATTTGGAAAAAATAGATGCACCCTAAAGGGTTCTGTGGAGGGATTCTGGGACATCTGGTGAGCTTTTGTGTTATATGTTGAAAATATATTGATGCCTATATAAAGACATTTGTGTATGTGCAGCTTAGCCGGTGTGGGTGGGGAGGGGCGGTAGGGCTTTTTTTCTTTTATTCTCTGTTCTGTTGCGTTGTGAGAGAAGCGTTGGGACATCATCACCGAGGAAACATACCTCCAGAATAGCAGAACTATTGAAGTTGGCATCAAGCGGGTCATCAGTTACAGTATCAATCCAGGGGTCTGGAGGGGGGAGGATGGACGGGTCAAAGCCAACATCGTCATAGTCGTCAGAAGCACAGGCGTGGTAGTGGTTCCCTGAGCCCTGGATGCTGACGGTGGAGGTGGCAGCATCACGTGAATAGTGTCGAGTGAGACCACGGGCTGACAAGATGTCCCTGTGAAGGTTTGGGGAGTCTAAAGGTGTGTCCAGTAGGTCTGGCAAGTCCAGGTCTGCCTGAATAGAAAAATACAAACAAAAACAAAGAACAACCAATAAAATGCAGAGAAAACAACAGTCTGGATGGTGCAGGTATGTTAGTTCAGAAAAAGTAACGTTGATTGCCCTTCTTTTTAGTGAGTGAGCCCTCTGGTGGCACATTTAGTTCAGTTTTAGTTTGTCTAAGACAGGAGAGCAATTTTAACCACTACATTTACTTGCATTAAAAAAAAAAACTTTAGTGTTTAATTTGTACATATTAAAAAACATTACAGTTTACATTGTAAAATTGCAATGTTTAATCAAAGTTCATGATCAATAATCCAAGTAAAAAAAAATCAGACAACATGAAGTCAAAACCTCTGGATGGTTTCTTTTTGATGAAATGTTTCGTCTTTCATCCTAAAAACTTAATCAGTTCGAGGAGCCACAACAAACTCAATCCCACAAGGATTTATGATTTATGAGTTTATTGTGGTTCCTCTGACTGATGAAGTGTTTTGGATGAAAGACGAAACATTTCAACCAAAAGAAACCATCCAGAGGACCTGACTTAACTTTGTTGGAAGTAATGTTTAATGTTTTGAGTATTGAGGCAAAATAAATCAATACAATTCTACTAAAGGAATTGACATTTTTGGTAGAGAATTTTTGGTCAAACGTTATGGATTTTTAAAAACTAGTATGGCTGAGAATATTACTGTCAGGATTTTCGAGGCAGATCAGAACAGGAGAACCCAGTAGCGCAGGCAGGACTCAGGAGGCAGATGTATAAAATAAAATACTTTTAATAATAATAATAATAATAAATCAAAAGGCTGACATGGCAGCAAAACTTACATGGACTCAAGAAACAGGATCACACAGGCAGGACAAGACAGGCAATACCCAACGACGAACCGACAATGACAGAACTGACAGACAGACTTTATATACACACAACCAGGACATGACACAGGTGACGATAATCAGACAATCAATTCAGACACAAGGGAGAACAGACAGGGGGAAGGCCCACTAGATGGTGCCATCCTTACAATTACCTCTGCCCATGAACCATGATATTAATAATAATTTATTCAATTTGCACTGCACTTTACATTTATAATCTCAAAGTGCTAGAATATAAAATATCTAAAGAGAATAAAACGTAGTGTAATGTGGACTAAAAGAGACTAACAAATGTTAAAAGCTAAAAAAAAAACAAAAAAAAACTGCAGGATTAAAATACTTTAAACATTATAAAATATTTTAAATAAAAAGGTCTTCAGTCCTTTCTTAAAATTTTCTGTAGTCTGGGGTATCCTTAGATGGTCAGGGAGGTTGTTCCACAGACAAGGAGCAGCAGAGCAAAAGGCCCTGTCACCCATGGTGCACAGTTTTGTCCGGTGAGGGTGGAGTTTGTAGGAATTTGTGGAGCGGAGGGACCATGTTCATGTCTGAGCAGTGAGCAGTTCTTTAAGATAGTGTGGAGCATTGCTGTGAATAGATTGGTGGGTGAGTATGGAAACCTTGTATTCAATACGGAGCAAAATGGGAAGCCAGTGCAGGGATTTAAGGATTGGGGTGATGTGATCATGTTTCCTTTGCTTTATGAGAATCCTGGTTGCACTGTTCTGTACATAATGAAGTTTTTGAATGTGCTTGGATGGAATTCCGTAAAAAAGTGCATTGCAGTAATCCAGTCTTGAGGAAACGAAAGCATGGACAAGTTTTTCAGCATCAGAAAAGGAGAGTAATGGACGGAGTTTGGAGATGATTTTCAGATGAAAGAATGAAGTCTTGCAAATATTTTAAATATGGGATTCAAATGTAAGATGAGAAACAAATCTTACACCAAGATTAGTCACTGTATCAGCAAAGGGAATGTTTTGGTCAGAGAAGATTATTGTAGAGATATATGTTGAGTGAGTCTGATGTGGGGTACCAACCAAAATAGCTTCTGTTTTTGATGTGTTTAATTGGAGAAAGTTGGCATTCACCCAGGCTTTTACCTCATCAAGACAGGTGGTGAGAGAGGAGATTGATGAACCTGTAGAATCTATTTTGATATAGAGCTGCAAGTCATCTGCATAACAATGAAAAGAGATCCTGTGATGAGTGATAATGTGACTGAGGGTGAGGATGTAGAGGGTAAATAATGTGGGCCCAAGGACTGACCCCTGAGGAACACCACAGGTGACTGTGATTTCGAGATCTTGCTTCCCCAATGGAGACATACTCAGATCTGTCAGAGAGGTAAGAGCTGAACCATTCCAGCACTGTCTCAGTCAGTCCTACAGTGTGTTTTAGGCGGTGGAGAAGGATACCATGATCCACAGTATCAAAAGCTGAGCTCAAGTCCAGGAGGATCAGAAGGGAGGGAGAACCAGCATCAGCTGCCATCAGAAGGTCATTTGTGACCCTGACCAGAGCTGTTTCTGTGCTATGAGCTGAACAAAAGAAGGACTGGAATATCTTGTGGATATTAATAGTGGTGAGGTGGTCATGTAGACAGGCTGCCACAAGTTTTTCCAACACTTTGGGCAGAAACGGAAGGTTGCCAACAGGTCTATAGTTGACATGATGGGCTGGATCCAATGATATTTCGATTAGCAGAGAGAGATGGATGAGGTGAGGCTGCAGCATGCAACTGTCGCTCCAAGGACACTTTCAAGTTCTGTGAACTCATCTGAACTGATAAGCATATAAAAATAAGCTGAGGAAGCGGCTTGACGCAGATTCTCATGACTGGTGTATATGTGTGTAATTTTTGTATATTTATGTAACCTGTAGTGAACTTAATCTGGTGTCACGACTAAGCCTAAGGTCAAAATCCTTGACCTTAAGAACCTTGTGGGACAGAAACTGTCATTTTATTGATTTGAATCCAGAAATACAGGTTCACCCATCCTGAGACTTTCTTTCTTGAAGATTCAAGTGAAAAGAACACTCTCTTTTTATTATCATTACTATTTTACAAATGTTGATAATCAAAGTGTCTTAGTTCAAACCATTTTAGATGTTGCAGTGAACTAATCAATTTTATTAACTGTGTAATGATTTTTAATTCTCATGCAAAGTTAGAATTCATGTTGAGGTCTGTTACAGATTTTTATGCATTTTCTGATTTCTGCCTTTGAATGAGCAAAGTGTGCGTTCCAGGGTCAAGAGTTGAAGCAGACATGTGTTGGAACGACTGTCCTGTTTATATCATCTCAGACGTCAACAGGGGGTTTTTTGGCACCTGTTTCTGAAACTCGCCAAAACAAAACTCTCTCTGTCTGTGAGAACATTTCTGATCTGTTCCATAACAATTCTTGCTGCATTCTAACCTTTTACGTCACAAGACACACCCCGTCTGGTCGGTTTTGGCCAATGGGAATACTCCCAGATGAACCGGGAAAAGGTCTCTTTAAAATGTCGGTACTTCCTGGTCTACTCAGTTCTGTTCAGTTCTGTAAACTACTCGGTTCTGTAAAGTCGGAGAAGTTCGGCGGCGCGGACAGTTCTGATATGTCCTAGCGCTGGGCAGTAGCTGTGAGAGCCGGGATGATCCTGACATGACAACAGAGCTCTTCCGAGTTCATGGGATTATAACATTTTCCACTGAGGTGAGCTGATGAGGGACAGAATCTAGCCGCTACTCCGGAGTAGTAACAGCATCCTACGGAGACGCTGAAGGGTGCGTTAAACGGAATCTCGCCTGAGACATCTCCAGGTAAAAGAGTCGATTTCACCACCTAAGTGTACCGTAAGAAAAGCTGAAGGAAGCCCGGAGAGTGCCGTTCTGTTCACACTCCCTCAAACCCCATCTTTTACTCTTCTTTAAACTTCTTTCCCATCTTTAAACTCCTCTCTCAAGTAGAAATTCTTCCAGATATTTAGAAATGTCTGTGTAAAGTGCTCATCCACCGCCGTGTGGGTAAAAGATCATAACTGTACAGTTTTCATAAATGTCTGTGGTGACGCAACGGAAAAATCATGGCCGTATGATTTTTCCTGATTGATTGCTTATGTTGTTATTTTCATAATTTGCCAAATTAATATAAATGTTTGATGTTAAACTTTGATTCTGTAAATAAATGACCGCATTCATTTTGATGGGTCAAATATAAATGACGTCTCACGTTTGCATTTCATTAAATTCAATGCACGTTTTATTCAGTTCAGAAAAATGAGGAATCCG